TGTGGAAACTTTTGTTTTCCTGTTTTTGCTCGCTTTTTTTTTTTTAACAATGCTCATTCATAGAAAACTTCACAAAGGTGACGTCTATGTACAGAAAACACGATTCCAAAGGCTGCTTCAGTAGTCAATGTAATAGCACCTTGAAAGACAAAAGTTTTGACAGATTTGAAAAAGTCTTTTTCTTGTGTGTGTGTGTGTGTGTGTGAAATTTTAACCCTTTCCAAGCCTCATTTAAAAAACAAAACAAAACAAAACAAAACAAAAAAGAACCAGTCACAAAGCTCCATCTGTAGAAACTCTTCCAAAGTCTCCGTGGGAAATGCTGTCTGAAGGGTTTTTCCAAGCTCCCCACTCTCTTGGTCAGCAACACCTGGCAAGGTCGAGGTAGCGTGGAGCCAGACAGGGTTTTCCTGCAGTCCAAACCAAGAGGAGATGAAAGAAATTCACAGCAAACTATTGCACAGGGCTGGTCTTCCATTCCACAGTTTCTCATTAATTTTTTTTTTTTTTTCTCTTTCCACGAACTCAAAAAAAGGGTTAATTTAAGATTTTATTTTTTTTTTTAATTAATTAATCCTGGTTAAAACATGTTGCTCTGAGTCCCAGGCTGGTACTGTGTCTGCAACAGGCTCTCCATAAAGGCCAGGTAGTCTGGGTTCTGTCCATATTCTTCAGGATTTCTTGGATTCCCCAGCCGGGGACGCTTGGCTGGTCTCACTTCATCTCCCGAAAATACATCTTCCTGAGGGGCCCCAGTGCTGAGGGACTGCAGGGGACACGAAACACAACCATTAGAGGCACAGCAGGGAAACAGGGAGGGAATCATGGAGCACCCCTGTGGAACAAGACAGCAGGGAACAAGCTGGTTCAGAGCATTCCTGGAGAAAACAAAGCATGCAAAGCACAGGGCTGGAATTCAAAATTCTGGGCTCCTGCAACCAAACTGGAAGGAGAAACCATCAAGTTGCCCTTTTTTTTTCTGCTTCAGAATATCTGTCACTTCCTTGCCAATCCTCTCTTTATGCCTATTCCTCCTCTGCCTCTTCTCCCAGTAGCAGACACAAAGGAAATTGGGGCTTCCCTAATGCCTTTAAAAAAAGACCCACAGGAAGCATTTGGGGATCACTGCACAAACAATTCCTTCTCCTCTTCCTGCTCTCACACTCCACTCAGGTGCATTTCATTTGCTCCCACTCAAATGAGATGAGGTGGGACCAGGTGGCACCACTGTGGTCCCTTTCCAACCTTTTTCTTTCTGGGATTCTGGGATTCCTCGGTAGGAATTATAATCCCATGGCTCTGTCCCTTTGTCCTCCTGCTCTACAGCATCCCCTCCACAGAGAACAGGATGAAGCTCTGGCAGCAGAAATACAGGAGAAAAGCTTTAGCTTTCAACCAGACTTGAAGCTTTCTATTCCTCTTTATTCCCTTTCCAGCTTGCATTCCTTCCTCTGGAACCTGTTAAAAAGTCTCCACTGCACAGAAAATGCTTCTTTCCAAATCCTGGATTTCAGGGCTCCAATATGTTGTCTTTGTTATTAAACAAGCTTTTAAATAGACTGGAATATTGGGCATGTCTTAGAAATTACTGCCATGCTGCCTCTTTGCCACCAGAAACCCTTCAAGGATAACAAGGTGAATTATTATGAACCTCTAAAATTTAGGCCATGAGGGTCTCACAGAGATAAACAGCCTCAAACAAGACAGAGAAGCCATTGGGGCTGTATCCCAGAAAGCATTTTACACGTGGGATTTTTAGGGTAAAACCCCTGAAGATTTCATGGGAAAGGGAACAAAAATTTCCTCCAACTTGTGCTCAGTCCCTCCCCAGAACTGCCTGTCCCAGGGCCATTTCTGAGGATGCACTGGTTTAACTGGGAAGGTTGAATCATCCTCCTTTTGTCTCTTAAAGAGACAAAAACGAGCCCAGAATCTTGTCACAGGTTTGCTCTGGACCTGTCCCTGTCCTGCCAGTGCCTGCCAGGCAGACATTTAGAATGAAGGAGAAAACTGTATATTCTCCAGTCTCATCATTTGTTTAAATGAAATGGCTTTTAAAGGTTAAAGAACCAGGTTTGAAAACACCCAGCAAGTCTGGGACCAAAAAAGCTATGAAATAAATCCCTCATCTCTTCCAGGCCCAGTAATTCCACTGTATGCACTTAAAGACAGCCTGATCTTGTAGATTAAGAGATTTATAGGTAAGAGCTACATTCTAAATCTCCTGTTTGGTGAGAAAAGGGGGTTTGGTCCCAGGTTGATAATCAGTTCTCCAGAAAGCACTGAGCTGTAGCCAAATCCACCTCTCATTTGGACGAAAAGACTCCAATATAACTAAATTCATATGGTGTAAAATGATCTGAACATAATCTTTTAACCAGAGGAAATAAAAATCCCATCTGAACACGTGCAAGGGAAAATCACTTCTGTGCTTCTCCAGCATCCACAGCAAGGATTCCTTCTACTTTGTGCATCTGGGGAATGACAAGTGGTTTTACAGCCACAGAAAACTCGAGGCTGCATTCACTTAAGGCCTAAAAAATGCAAGGGGAAGATGTGAAGGGGTTCTGCAAGTGCAGCTGGTTTAGTGTTGCTATTTTGGTACCCACCAGGCGAGACTTGACTCTCTTGGGAAGCTCTTCCTCCAAGGTATAAATATCTCCACGCTTCACCATTAGCTGAGAACCATCTTCAAACTCGACCTGCAGAGAGGCAGAAGATGAAATCACAACTTGGCCTCTGCATTTCCAGCCCCAGAATGGCCCATTCCCAGCCTGTCCCTTCGGGGAATACCAAGGAAGCATCGGGGGCCAGATCCCACGGATGATCTCTGCAGGTCTCCAGGATTGCTCTGGAATGAGAATTCCTGAGCTCTGCTGAGGATGCTGAACCCACAGAGTGCTGTTTTCAGTGTTATCCAGCCCAAGTGCTCCAGAGATCCCAGAATATCTGCACCCCAGCTGGCCCAGCACCTCTGTTCCCCCCTCCCACTACATATTCCTACTGATTTTTTGATTCAAACCCTGAAAAAAAAAAACCAAAACCAAAAAACAGCAGCTTTTCACTTACAATAAAAGCAGCCCTGTATTCAGGCCAATATGGTAATAAGAACTTCTTTCATCTTAAACAAAGCATTTTCACAGGTCACGAAGAAACAATTCCAGCTACTAAAGCACATTTGTATTTCAACCAGCAGAAATAGTCAGCCAGGTACAAAAAACTCCTCCCATCAACCCTTTTTTTTTGCTAAGCACTGATTATCCCATGAATTATGCATCAGATGTTCCAGGAACATTTATTCAAGGAAACGTGCACAGCAAAATGTTAAAACTATTAAAAGTTTTTTAAGAGACTCTCATTTCCTTTGCTCAAGACTTTAATACAGTTTTCTGGGTAAAGCAGAAGGACACAGATCAGAGTTTAATAGGGGTGTCAGGTTCAGCCTGGACAAATTCAGAAGGAATAAAGCATCTGCGCTCCCAAATCCTCCTGCTGCTCTGTCCAGCTCCAGCAGCTCATTCCTTACCCAGGCACCACGTTCCCATCATGGAGCAGCATCCAGGAGCTGGGATAAATGTGCAAGTGGGAGCCCAGGCCTTGGAAGGTGAGCCCTTCGGGGGGGAGTTTAAGATGCTACTTTATTTATTCCCATTTATTTCCACTTATGGAGCTCTATATGGTCCTTATTCAGACCCAGGGGCACCTCAGATCACATTTCTGAGGGAGTTACAGCCACTACCCACCCAAAAACCACTGGGAGCTGCCCAGGGGTTATTGTGCTCTTCCAGACACAAAACAGTGACACGCTGCCATGAAGTCCCTGGCTCCTCTGCCACACTCACCTGGTAAATCTGACTGATCTGGGCTGCGATAAACTTGGCCTTGTAGATGATCCCATCCGTCCACTGCAGCTGAACCAGCTCCCCCTCCAGAGGGGGTCCCATTTGGATGCAGTCCCTGCTCTGAAGGCAGAGGGAAACAGGTCAGAGAGACACCACCAGCAAAGCTCAGGAACCAGAGAGGTGTTCAAATCACTGCTCGAGG